GTGCCCCCCCCCCCCGCCCCCCGGTGCATTCAACAAGTGTGCACGGAATGCTGTCATGTGCCGACACTGTGCTTTGTGCTTGGGAGGCCGCAGTGAGTAAGACAGAGTCTCTGCCTCATGGAGCTTAAACTCTATGGGAGGAAAAGAGATAGTGAGTAGACAGTAAATAACCAGTGCAATTTCAAGAAATGAAAGTTTGGTGAAGAAAAGCATGGGGTGAGGGGGCGTGATGAAGAATGGCTGGCTGGGGGACGGCATTTACCTTGGATGGGAAGGTCTGGAAAGACCTCTCAGAGTAGGTGACATTTAAGCAGAGACCTGACTGATGAGCATGAACCAGCCTTTTGAAGAGCTGGGGGAACATTCCATCGAAGAAATAGCAGGTGCAGAGGGCTTGAGGTCTAGTCTACTCACAGTTAAAGAACAGGGAAGCCAGTGAATTGTGGGAGAATGTGGTACGAGAGAGATTGGAGAGTAAGAAGGCCGTTTAGAACATGCTAAGGAGTTTCGTTATTATTCTTAGTCAATGGGAAGCCATTTTTTGTTTTTTAAAGATTTTTGTGGGGGAATGTTGTGGATTGAACATACCTAAAACAGGTATGTCGAAATCCTAGCCCTTAGTAACCTTATTTGGAAATAGGGTCTTTTCAGAGGTAATTAAGTTAAAATGAGATCATTAGAGTAGGCCCTAACTCAGTTTGACTGGAATCTTTATAAAAAGGTGAAATTTGGGCACAGAGAAGGAAGAAGACTATGTGAAGACAGAGGTTTGGAGCAACGCATCTACAGGCCACGGAATGCGAGATTGACAGCCAACCCCCAGGTGCTGGGAAGAGGCAAGGAAGGCTCCTTCCCCTGGGTGGGATGGCCCTGCCAACACCTTGATTTTGGATTTCTAGATTTCTGTTGTTTTAAGCCACTCAGTTTGTGTTACTGTTTACAGTAGCCCTAGCAAACTAAAAAAGGGGGAGTACTAGTATACTGGCTCTGCCTTTGGGAAAGCAATGAAGCATCCTTCCTGGCCTCAGTGATACTGGGGTATTGGGTAAATATATAATGAAAAAATACATAATGAAAAAATATATAAATTAATAGGATGGAGCCCACTGATTGAATTTCCCTGTATAGAATACCCTACTGTTCTTTTAAGAATGGTCCTTTTAGTGATGCTCTGTAAATGATGGTTTGGAGGGGCAAGAGTGGGAGCAAAGAAATAAGTTGGAAGTCTGTTACAGTAATCCAGTAACCTGCAGTAATCTAGTAATGAGTAATGATGGTGGTTTGAGCTGGAGAGAGTGGTGGTAGAAATGGTAAGAGGGAGGCAGAAGTAAAGCCAGTGGGACTTGGTAATGGACTGGATGTGGGGAAAGAGGGAAAGGAAGGAATAAAGGCTGACTCTTAGCTTTTGGCTTGAGCAGTTGGATTAGATGACTTATTGAGATGGAAAAGACTGAGAGAGAATGGCTTTTCTGAGGATATGGAATCAAGGGTTATGCTTTGGACATGTTAAGTTTGAGGTGCCTATTGTTTATCCACTTGAAGATATCAAGTAACTAGTTGGTAGTCTCAGAAATGTTCCGGGCCAGACATACATTTAGAGGTCATCAGAGTAGAGACAGTATTTAGTGATTGAAACTAGATGTTACTTAGTGGGGAGAGTTGAAAGAAGAGAATAGGGGCCAGCAGTAGGCCCTCTGGAGCTCTGCTGTTTAGAGGTCTGGTCAAGGATGAGGATTCGTGGTGCTGAGAAGCGGCACCAGGACAGCTGGTAAATTGTCAGTATTCAGTGATGGTTAATGGTTTAAGGGTTAAACTAAATTATATGGAAATACATGGGGAAAGGTATTGGAAGTACCCCACCCCTCATATACCAAATTCTGTTTAACAAAGCTATATCTAAGAACCTTTCCAAATGCGGAAATCAAGTTTTTGTTTTCAGTATGTTACAGATTATAGAATCAGACAAATTCTGTATACTTGAGGCTTCTGAAAGGTCATTAAAATGTCTTTGTGCTCCAGATAGATTTTTTTTTTTTTTTTTAGAAACAGAAACTTTGTAAGTTTTCGCAATGATCAAAATTTGTTATAAATCAGGGTTCCATTTAGTCTTCATTTGTGTGTTCATTAAGAGTGGAACCTGTTTCATTAATCACATGTTAAGAGATTACCTACCTTGGCCCAATTCAGGAAGCTATTATTCTACATTACTCAAAATTTCCAAGCAAGCACGGGGAAGTTTTGGAGGAAATTAGAATCACATCTACCTTTGAATATTGGCAGAAGAACTAGCATCTGTTGGATCAAATATCTTCAGAAGCCCATTCTGCACTTAGTATGTGAAGATTTGAACGTGGGGACTCTATCGATACTGTTTAAAGAACTGAGCACTGTGCTTGGTTGTTGTCTGAACTGGGAGTTGATTGCTGATGTGTTTCTGTCCTCAGGTCTGGAGAGAATTTCCTGACCGGTTGGTGGGTTACCCGGGTCGCCTGCATCTCTGGGACCATGAGATGAGTAAGTGGAAGTATGAGTCTGAGTGGACCAATGAGGTGTCCATGGTGCTCACGGGGGCAGCTTTTTATCACAAGGTAAGTCGGGGGCAGACTTGGGGCAAGTGGGGCTGAGTTGACAAACCAAGAGTATGATACTCATTTTATTTGGCCCAACTTAATTTTCACGAGTTTTGGAAAAATGTTCTACTTTAGATGTTTTTTTCCAGTTTGCCTCTTTGATTTACTAATTCACACGTACAGACAGTTGTAAATATTCTCATTAGCTTGCTTTTTGCATGCATTATATTGTGAGTTTTTTTCTTATATCATTAACATTTCTTCATAAACAACTTCTTAACATAATTGCTGATATACCATTATATTAATATTCCATAAATCATGTATAACTGTTTCTCTACCATTTAGGTTGTATCTAACCTTTGTATCTAATATGTTTTTTTGTATCTAATATATTTAGGTTGTATCTAATTTTTTTGCTAGATAATGCTCTTTATCAAATGCTTAAATAATGATCAGTATCCGTTTTCATACCCGTTTGTACTTAGGATCATTATGATAGATTCCTAGAAGAAGAAATACGAACATTCGGGGGAGGTTTTGATATATATATTTGTTGGTTGTTTTTCAATATAGTTTGTGCCAATTTACATTCTTACCAGCAAAATACAAAAGTATCTTACCATACCCTCCCTTGCATGAAAAACATTAAAAAAAAAATCAAACCTAGCTATTTTGATAAGTGAAAGTGGATCTTATTGATTTCACTTTGATTTGATAACTGTTGAGGTTGAAATTCCTTTTGTGTATATTTTAGCCTTTTGTATTTCTTCTCTTGGAATTGTCACTATGTTTTTGACTATTTTTTTTATTAAAGGGAGAGACTGAAGGGTATGCATTGGACTTTAGAATATTCTGTTTGATGGTGGAGTGCTCCCTGGGAGTGTGTGGCTTAATTAAACAGTAATAACTTGTCAATTGTCAGCAGTGGCATAAGGGACTGATGTCAGGAAAAAGATCTGTGCAGCTCAGCACAGTTAATTTGACTTCGCTGTATTTATATTGATTGCGTGTTGTTGTCTCAGCACTGCTGCCCTCATATTTTTCAGGGCTCTAGATCCAGAAATGAGTTTTTGTTCTTAGCAAAGAATAAATAAATAAATAAGGTGTATAATTCTTGGGGTTTGTGGTAGACCGATAAATACCTTTTCTTAGCCCACAAATTTCTGTACTATTTCATACATATAGGTTATGTAGTTTCAGAATTGCCTCATTTTGTTTTACTTTAAAAAGAACATGTCTGCAATGTCAATCCACCATTAATATATCTGTTTCTATCTGCAGTCTGTAGAAAGAATATGGAAAACAGGGTTGAACATTGTGACTCGGGGGAAGGATTTAGTGAAGATCAGTATGTAGTGTGTTTCTGAACAATATTTATTAAACATATGAAATATTAATCAGTCCAGAGGGCCTACATCTTACAAGGGCTTCACACCATACGGTACACACCTCTGCTTACTATAAGTGATTTTTTAAAGAGTGGCAGTGTTAAAGACACCTGGTCACCTGACCAAAAACCATTCTAATACTTCCCTTGCCCTTTCTACTGATCCAGGCTTGTGACTAATCTTACGAGAGAAAGCTTGTCCCCCTGCCATGGTTCAGTTGCCCTTTGTATATCAACCACAGGGAACTGCTATTTGAATGTGTCTCCTTTTCTGTCTCACCTGTCAGTATTTTAATTACCTGTATACCTACAAGATGCCTGGGGACATCAAGAACTGGGTGGATGCTCATATGAACTGTGAAGATATTGCCATGAATTTCCTGGTGGCTAACGTCACGGGGAAAGCTGTTATCAAGGTAGGAGGCGTCCTTGGCCGGCTCTGCCCCTAACAACTTACTTTGCGATCTGGGGCATGCTTCTGGTTCTCTGAGTCTCAGAAGTTTTCATAACTATAAATTAAGCCTTGGAATAGATGAACTTTAAGCTCCCTTTTAGCTTTAAGATTCTATGATTGAATCTCTCATATTGTGAAATGGAAGCTAGGCTTTGATGATTTAAACATGTTTTATACGTTTTTTTTTCTTTTTGTTTTCACATCTTTATTGAAGTATAATTGCTTTACAATGTTGTGTTCGTTTCTGCTGTACAACAAAGTGAATCAGCTATATGTATACATGTATCCCCATAGCTCCTCCCTCTTGAGCCTCCCTCCCACCCTCCCTATCCCACCCCTCTAGGTGGTCACAAAGCATCCAGTTGATCTCCCTGTGCTATGCAGCAGCTTCCCACTAGCTAGCTATTTTACATTTGGTAGTGTATATATGTCAGGGCTACCGTCTCACTTCATCCCAGCTTCGCCTTCCCCCCTTGTGTCCTCAAGTCCGTTCTGTACATCTGTGTCTTTATTCCTGCCCTGCTACTAGGTTCATCCGTATCATTTTTTTTAGATTCCATATATATGCGTTAGCACACGGCATTTGTTTTTCTCTTTCTGACTTACTTCACTCTGTATGACAGACTGTAGGTCCATCCACCTTGCTACAAATAACTCAATTTCATTCCTTTCTATGGCTGAGTAATATTCCATTGTATATATGTGCCACATCATCTTTATCCATTCATCTGTCAATGAACGTTTAGGTTGCTTCCATGTCCTGGCTATTGAAAATAGTGCTGCAGTGAACATTGTGGTACCTGTACCTTTTTGAATTATGATTTTCTCAGGGTATATGCCCAGTAGTGGGATTGCTGGGTCATATGGTAGTTCTGTTTTCAGTTTTTTAAGGAACCTCCATACTGTTCTCCATAGTGGCTGTATCAATTTACATTCCCACCAACAGTGCAGGAGGGTCCCCTTTTCTCCACGCCCTCTCCAGCATTTACCGTTTCTAGATCTTTTGATGATGGCCATTCTGACTGGCATGAGGTTTTGTGGTTTTCAAACCTCATTGTGGTTTTGATTTGCATTTCTCTAATGATTAGTGTTGTTGAGCATCTTTTCATGTGTTTGTTGGCCATCTGTATGTCTTCTTTGGAGAAACGTCTATTTGGTATTCTGCCCATTTTTGGATTGGATTGTTTGTTTTTTTGATATTGAGCTGCATGAACTGCTTGTATATTTTGGAGATTAATCCTTTGTCCTTTGCTTTGTTTGCAAATATTTTCTCCCATTCTGAGGGATGTCTTGTCATCTTGTTTATGGTTTCCTTTGCTGTGCAAAAGCTTTGAAGTTTCATTAGGTCCCATTTGTTTATTTTTGTTTTTATTTCCATTTCTCTAGGAGGTGGGTCAAAAAGGATCTTGCTGTGATTTCTGTCATAGAGTGTTCTGCCTGTGTTTTCCTCTAAGAGTTTTATAGTGTCTGGCTTTACGTTTAGGTCTTTAATCCATTTTGAGTTTATTTTTGTGTTTAGTGTTAGGGAGTGTTCTAATTTCATTCTTTTACATGTAGCTGTCCAGTTTTCCCAGAACCACTTATTGAAGAGGATGTCTTTTCTCCATTGTATATTCTTGCCCCCTTTGTCAAAGATAATGTGACCATATGTGCGTGGGTTTGTCTCTGGGCTTTGTATCCTGTTTCATTGATCTATATTTCTGTTTTTGTGCCAGTACCATACTGTCTTGATTACTGTAGCTTTGTAGTATAGTCTGAATATACAGTTGTTTTTTTTTAAGTTACAGTTTGTAACCTCCAGTATCAGAGACAAAGGCTGTGGCGGTCAATCTACAAATCGTGTTTTTTAAAAAAATATAATTTTATTCTCAAACGTGACTTGGAATCTAGTTCTTTTGGTTAAAGAACGCAGTTTACATCTTTCTTAAGGTAGCTGATTTTTTTTTAATAGACGCTGAGAAGATAGTACACTTTGTACAATTATAACTGTAGTTGTCCTAAACATTATTTTAAGGTAGCGATTACCAGTTTGTAACAGTACCTTTCCTGTAACATATTAAAAGCTGAGATCACATGGGGATCTTTGTATGTGTAATAGATGTCTGTTGCTGAAATGTAGATCTTGCTCAAATCAGATCCCTAGAAATGCAGGGAGAGTACACTTCTGTATAACAGTGGAATCGTCTTGACCTTTCTTTCCTTCTGGATTAGAATTCCATATGTGAGAATGGCCAGTGCTTCTAGGCCAGATTCCTGTACTGGAAGCTTATGTTGGACGCATGGTATGGCATCCCCAAATGATTCCTCATGCTATTAATTGATGAGACAAGCTAGATTAAACCAAAGTGACTAAGGAAAGAGGAAAAGTCACTATGTGTTCAGACTTGACCCAATCTTACCCTACCCCCCAGCTCTCTAAATTACTCAGTGAACAGCTCACTGCAGGCAAAATTAAAGAATGTAAATTGCAAAACTAGTTTTAAAGGAACTCCCCTTATTTCCAAATTTTCTTTTTTTTTTTTTTTTTTA